CAGCCAAATATAATTTTCTTACTTGTTATTTCCACAATCAGGAATCCGCTGGATTTGCCATGCGCTTGTAATACACAAATTCAAAACTCGATAAGGTGTATATATATACATCATTAATGAACACAACTTCTCCTAAATGATAACCTCTTAGGTATATTGATGCAGAAATTTTAATCTTTTTTTTTTTGTTGATATCTTGTCGAACTTGAATCAGTTAAAAGAGGAGGTCCCAGGACAAACACCTAGAATAAAGTGAAGTACGTGAATTCGTTCGCTACTAAACGTTACTTACAGGAGCCCGAAATCATGTGTATGTAACATATTTGCATTAGTTTTAAAAATCTTGGATTTTAGTGGGTATCCTTCCCAACAGAACATGAGCCGGTTCACCTTTAAAGTGTTGCCAAATTACTAAAGGTATAGGAAATATATCGGACGTTTATGGTTCGATAAATGATCGATCGATCTATTGAATGAATATATCTTCGGCATATCTTGTACTCGACTATCGTATACAGACTTGCACTGAGCATTAAAAAATTTCAACTCAATTCGAATTAAATTTCTTTCTTCTTTCAGAAAACAAATACAAACAGTTATCCAACAAATGCCAAGAGCAATAAATATTCCTAAGCATTAAAAAGCAATTTTTAAAATGTATTTAAGAAAAGAGAGGTTCTGAGGATATTTGCATCAATTTTTGGGAAAAAAGTCTAAAGAAAGATCATATTTTAATTGTAAAAGTTAATCTTCTGCCCACTTACTCCGAGGATGTCAGGTGATTCGCGTAACATTGAGTGTGAGAAAGAAGTGAGAAAAGAAAAAAAAGATAGAAAAATGGTGGTCGCAACCCATTGGTTATGTGCTCATTGGGTAAGTAGGTAAGCCTTTATCAACTGAGCACTCACTATAGATTCGACCAAAGAGAGCAAACTTACGATAAAAAGTCAATTGTGTAATCTATAAGCGAACTGAGCGGTAAAATATAATTGACTAAGAGTTCACCTAAAATATAAATCAAGTATCGTTACAATCGGCCCAAGTCCTGCTATAATAACGATGACTAAACTGACCGCCGTTGCTTCTGCACGGTAATTACATGTACTAGAATAGGGTGCAATGAATGGATTAAGATAATGCTTTAAAGAAACATGGCGTTACTGACTTCTCCTCCTCCTTCATTAGCTACAACCGTCTTTAATGTACTTCGGAATATCAAAAAATGTGACAGTTAGAGTTTATAAAATCGATTAACTAAAATTTCCTTGATTTTCATTGGGTATGCCGCCTTCACTACAACTATTTTAGATTTCTTCTTTCACCTACAATTTCGAAAAGAAAGCTTTCATTTCACACATTACAACATCACAACATTAATAATTAAAACAATGATCTGGCACTTATCACTTGTCCCACAGCTGTTGTCATTGGCTTTACAAGACTATGCTAATAGTGAACAAAGTCAAACTTAATGCAAACAAAACTAATTCGTCCTACGACTATAAAGAGAAGCGAAACAAGACAAACAACAATTAGGAAGGGGTCACCACAAGTATCAAGTTAAATGCTTATCGCTAAACAAACCCAAAAAAAGCCATTCTCAATTTATTTTATTTTTCTTTTACTTTTTTTTTTCTCCCCCTTGTTTTTGTATTATATATAACAAGTGTAGAGGTAAGGGTAATAAAAGAAATAAAATTTGTAAAAAACGTCGACTGACTGATTGACTTAAACACTGTCATGAATCATAAATTTAACGAATTGTAAAAATGTAAATTATATTTCATTTTTCTTGTCTACCTTCCTGCTTTCATTGAATGAGTTTTTACTAATTATCTCTTTCCGTTCAGCTTTCTAAGCGTAGCGAAAGAAACAAAAGAAAGAAGACTATATTGGCTTTAAAACGAATCTTTTATACCCTTCAGCTAATTATATGAATGTCTTCAAGTGTGTGTGCGGCATATAGGTTCAAGTTTATGTTCAAGGTGAAAAGATCTGATGCGAAGTAAATGGGACCGGGTTAAAGTGAGTCTGAATCTCTGATCAACTGTATATTCATGTTACGCTTTTTTCTAGATATATGCGTGTCTGTCTTTTACGAGCAACCATAAAGCAAAAAAAAAAAATTCCGCTTTTTCTTAATTACAGGCAAGCCAGTAGACTAACAAGGGCAGCAAACATTTCTGCAAAGCTTTGTGTCAATAAATGCTTTGGCCATTGCAGACAAGTCATCCATGTTTTCAAATTCCGTTTATAACTATCAGCTGAAGTTAAAGATATATCTCATGTATCGTGAATATTGTGATGGAGGGATAAATGAATCTTACGTGCCAGCAGACTTTAACAACAGACAAACGTACAGACGGGCAGATGTCCGTCGGAGATAGATGTGAAGTGCTATGGATATTGTGACAGAGGGACAAACAATTTTCACGTGCCGGCAAATTTCAAGAACAGACAAACGTTAAGGCGGCTAGACATCCGTGAAAGACATGTTTCAAGGGCCATGGACATTGTGAAAGAGGGACAAACAAATTTCAAGTGCCAGCAGACTTTAACAACAGATAAATGCACAAACGGCCAAACATGCATCAAAAACATATCCCAAGTGCCATGGATATATTGTGAGAGAGGGACAATCAAATTTCAAATGCCAGCAGATTTTAACAACAGACAAACGTAGAGAAGGACAGATGTGTATTGTATGTTTAAACAAAATTTTATGCTGATTAAAAATACGAAATTTATGAATATTTCTACGATGCTGCGAACATTATGGTATAAGCAATATAATCTCATTTTTCGATAGTGGATATAAAAGCTAATTAGCCATTTTTTCTCTTAACATCTTAATTATTATTGACTCAAATGTGACATCCTACCTTCATTATGATGTTAAAAAAGAAAGAGATGTAAAAAAGGATCAAAAGGCTGAAGCAATTACAATCGGTTTGGGCCACCCAGACGCTAGCTTGTATATGTTTTTTTTTGCTATTATGAAACAGAGCAAGGCTTGACTTGTTCGAAATATCGTGGCCATTACACCAGGTTGTACATATCGTACATAGTATAATTTGCAAGCGCTTTTTATAGATAATCACATGATAAAGGTGTGAAGATAAACTCGTATTTAACTACCGACGATAACTGTATACCATATTTCTTAACAGAGCCCCAGTAGGGAGCTTGCAGAGGCCCGTCAAATATTCCGAATAACATATGGTTGGTAAAGACATGAATAGTTGAGACTGTAGCGCAAACGGTCGTCTATATCCACTTACATCATGTAAGTCTATATGAAAATACCGGTCGAATGAGCGAAAAAAATGCATATTTTTGCTTTCAAAAACTATCATTAATGAATTTTTAAATATTACATACTTAGCAAAAAATTATTAGAAATAGTTCCTATAGTTGTCTTCATATGGATTCAAGAGGTGCTCACCAAAAAATTTTTTACGTTTTTTAATATGGATTGAGTAGGCTTTCAAATTCAACTATGCCTTAACTCTAAATATTTAAAAATTGTTATTAGAGGATTTACAGAGCTCTGTTAAGGGATAGAGTAGATGTCTTTTCTAATTAAATTCAAATTTATTATAGGTAAATATAGATTTATACCTGGAAATTTCTCCTTCTTCTATTTTCCTTACGAGGCAAGCTTTGGCCCCATTTAGCTGACTTTTAAATTTTACATGGACCTTGCTTAGATTTTATATCTCCATCTTCGTTGAGGTAGAAGGGTATATTACAATTTTATGACAATTGTAGGCTTGATTAGACTTGTCTTATCTGAGAGCCTAGCCTAAGTAGAACAATGAAGAAAGCATAAAGCCAAAGGTTTTCTTCTAGAGAAAGCAGTACATATCTTACAATGGACGGATAAGCAGAGATGGCTTAATCAACAGATTTACTTGCGTTCATCGACGCACACATATTTGTTGGTATTGATGTTAATGCTTATACTTTTCTTATACCTTACACCACTTCTGGATGTGCGCAATACCTAGAAAAACTTGAGTTGGACCCAGCTTTTGTTAAAGCGATAGATTCAGAACCGCTTTCTCGAAGCGACTTAAGCTTGCCTGTCCGTCTTTCCGTTTTGTTTTTTTATGTTCAATCTACAAGACATACTGAGATGAAATCTGGTGGACTGTCAGGTTCTGGACCAAGGACGAAGACTTTTGAAAATGGTTCGGATCGGTCGACTTTCTCGATCACTAGCCATATAATGCCTCATTTTGAAAAGTCGTTTTTTGAATAATTTTAGGTTAATGTAGTGAGCCGTGGCCTTGTTTTTACTTGTTAATGCTAGAAATTACTTCTTTAGTCTAAATATATATATACATATATATATATATATATTTATGTGTGCATTATTTATATATGTATGTTTACATGAGCTCAAAGGCCAATTGCGAAAATTTAATTAATCTGTAGCAAAAACTATGGAACATAATAATTTGCATTAATTTTTAAAAAATTTCTATTTATGTTTTTTCTCACTTAAGCAACTAAATGGTGAAACTGTTTATATGAAAAGTGGTGTACAATCAATCTCAGCAAGTTTTTTCCATGCATTCATGTGAGTAGTTTTGTCATTAAAATTGTCATTGCTATTGCTGTTGTTATTGTTATTATTATTATTATTTTTGTAGTTGTTGTTTTTGTTATGCATATATAAAAAATAAATGCAAATGTATGCGTTAGTTATAAAATTAAAGTAAAAAAAGAAAACAAAAAAAAAAAATAAATAAATAAATCGCATTTAAATAATAAGCTTATTTATTATATAGTCGACTATAAATCTTTATCCGTTCAATCGATATATGCATATAAAGGAGAAAATATAGGAGCGAAATATTTTCCATTATTTGCTCAGTGAATTTGTTTTTTTTTTTGTTTTTTTTCTTTCATTTCTACTAATTCCGGCTGTTATTGATGCAAGCAAATAAATTTCATAGATCTTAAAGTGATTCATTCATAATGTATTTACTGACCTCAAAATTCGAATAATCTTCACCGGACACCAGTACTAGAAGGAGCGCAACAGTTGCTCCGAAGATGTGAAGACGCATTTTTCTTTATTTATTTTTTATTGTGTGTTGTTATATGTATGCTGTTAATTGTTGCTTTGCTTTTTGTTTTTTTTTTTGTTTTTTTTTTTTTCAATTTTAAAATCTGTCTTTGTTTGTTAGACAAACGTGAACGTGAACACAGCGTTTCTTTGTTTATTGCATTAAAATTTTTCTTGTTTTCTTTTCCTTTTATGTTTGTTTTTATTATAAAATGATTTTCATCATATTCGTGTAAACATATAATTTTTCTTTCAGTTGTCCTTAGCACTTAATTTCGCCCGTTTTAATGTAACATTCGCCAACAACTGCCAATAATAGACTATGACAGCAGCATTGCATTTACAGATCTCTTTCTACACGGCACATATGATGAAAATTCGATGACACAGAGTCTCATTGAAATTCACAAAACGACCAGAGTTGACTAGTAAAGCTCAAATAAATATTATGTAAATATTATTATTATTATTAGATGTTTGCAAAAGTTCTGATCACTTTTTCACTTGAAAAGGAAAATTGGTTCCATCATTTTCTGCAATATTGTACAATATTTTTGACAACATGACGGTCTCATGTCAAAGGAAATTATACCGGTTTGTCAGCGATCCACGCATCGACCCATTTTCGCATTTCGTCAACTTACCAGCGAAGCCTTGCTGCACCGATCTCAGCAAGTGGTAGCCAGGTGGCGCCATGTCTGTTGACTACGGCTGGGTGTGGCAGAACTTCCCATTCGATCTGTAACAGCGTATCCTGGACAAATCTTGCAACAAGTGGACAAAATGGCATATTTAGTCAATTTGTGAGGTAGCCGTTTCCGTGCCTTTTGGGTCTCCTCCCATTGCATGTAAATGTCTAGAAACAGTTGATCCGTCAATTGCTAAGCTATTCGAAAGTTCTTCAAGAGTTTATGCTAGATTTTCTGCCAACAAGTCTTGCAGTTCATGGTCATTGAACTTTTTCGGTCCTCTAAGCGACTTTTTGTCATTGACATCAAAACCGATAATTGGGTGATGATGGTGCAGTATCGCCATAAGCTTCTCAACGTGTTTGTTGAGTTTTGGCAGCAGATTGCTTTAAATAAACACGAAAAGTAATGCATTTGGAAGACGAAGAAGTTTAAGCGTTCAATGATTATCGTCGGCGTACACTGAATAAATCAATAATTTTAAATGGAAAATTGTTTTTTTATATAGAGAAAGATCAAAACTATCGAATTCAGCCGTTATGTATGCTAGCATTTCCATCTCTTCATTATTTTTACCTGTAGAAGTCGCAGGTCAAAATTTCTGCAAACGCCTAAGACTGAAATGAAACCAATTGGACGAACACCAGCAACATTGGCTATCCACACATACTTCAGAAAAGGAAATTAGAAATTGAACCTAATAGCTTTAATAAAAGTAATATATTGAAGTGTTGTTGACACACACGTACGCATGTATTGTGTCCTGATTTCAAGATGTCAATCGGATTGGTTGTTTCGAATGCAATCGTTCTAATAGAGAAAAAGTTCAGGCAATTCGCAAACCAGTTACTTTATTGTAAGAGTTATTCCATCATTTCAGATTAGAGAAGAACACTTCCTTAGGACGCATGGGTATGTCGCAACTGTCGTATTCTCGCAAATGTTGACCCATCGGTCTTTATTTTGCCAATATTTGTTGGTAAAAAAGGTGGAACTAGATGGGAGTTTGCAGAGGAGTGGTTCTGACAATAGTATCATAAATTTGGTTCCACAATCACATCCTACAACACTTTACAGTACAGAGTATATCAAGTTCGTGCGGACTTTTGTAACATCCAGAAGGGCTTTCGATGGACCTGATGGATTATACTGATCAGAAAATAAATCTGAATTGATCTAAGTTTGTCTGTCCCTTTTTGGCGTCCAGCCATCTGGCTGTTTACGTATTTTCGAGATATTTCGATGAAATTTTATAAGCCGACGTGGATTTATCCAATGTTAAACACGATTGAAAATCGTTTAGATCGCACGACTTTTTCGTCCACCCCCATTTAACGTCTGATTTTAAAAAATCGTTACATACAAAAAGTTTAATTTTTTTAATTTTTTCGCAAAACTCACTCAAAAAAAAAAAAAATTTTGTTCTGCTTGGTTAATTTTATTGAATCCCTCTCATATAACCGTTTCTACGAAAACCAAATCTCTTTATATGGTGACAGGTTGCATGGTGGAAATTGGTTCATAATAGTAAATCGAAAAAAAAGTTAAACTTTGGGCAATGTAGATCTATATTTTTGATACCGGCGCATAGAAGGATTCTCCGGAAGTGTAAGCCTTTATTGGCCAAAAAAACTCTAATTTTTAATGCTTTATGATGAAAACTTGACAAAGGTATGCTTCTTGGACCCAGTCCGTAAAAGATTTCTTATGAATAGTAAGATCTTCAAAAATATTCAATATTTGGTATTTTATGATAAAAATGAGTCCTACAATAGCAATTTAGCACAAAATTAACGATAGGAAATCTGGATCACATATGTCTTTTATTTATAACATGTATAAGGGGGTCATGAAAAGCAAGTTCTTATAAGGAGAGAAAGTCTAATATATATTTTTTTTTGAAACTGAGATATAATAAAATTTTTAGGAAGTAAATTAAGTTTACTAAATTTGAGCCACGTCAAATGTGGGTTTGGCATCCTTCAAAATGCGGGTTTTCACGAAAGTATGCGTCTGCATGAAAATAATGTGTAATTTTCGCTGTAATTTACCGAAACGAGTGAATAAATGTACTAGGCGAAGTGGTGTAGGGTATCTACTTGCCCGACTATAACGCCCTCACTTGTTTTCTCTGTAAATTTCCTTCCAATTTCGCTATGAAGGTTCAACTTTTCCATGATATCGTCCACAATTACAAGGTGCAGAGACAGCCGATTTTCCCGCTCGATCACCTTGCTTAATTCCCAATAAACCGGTATGGCTAGATAACCGCATGTCCGATGGTATTGTTTAATTTCTTAATGGCGGTCCAACTCAAAGTCGAGTCAGCAAGACGTGTTTCACCATTTCCTCTATACCAGAAAAGTGAAGGCAAGAAGGGTTGTTATCGTGGCCGAATCTATGGAGGTATTGCCGAAAGCACCCATGCCCGCTAACCATTAGTGTAAAAAAGGAGTCAATGCTTCTCTGCTGTCTTGTGACCCACATTTTCATATCATTTAGCAACTCGTATGTCCAGCACGTCAGATTCATCCCATCTCATCTACCGAGTGCAAATACTTTTTTCCGCGAAACCTCTACTTTTCTTTGCCGTGAACTTTCTCCCAAGTTGCCTTCATGCACGGTACCATTTTGTTAGTTGGCTGGCTATTGGAATATAGTTCACATTCATGTAAAAGCGTTGAGACAAGCTCAGCTTTAGCGACCATACATTCTATGTGCAATGTTGTACTCCTAAGGCTGCATAGCTTGATGTATGTTTTAGCAGTAGCACTGCTGATATGATTTCTCCATGTTACTGTCTCAAATGAATCACTGATGGGTAGTTTGCACTCCAATCTCTCACCTGTTAACTTCTAACTCCTCTAATAAACCAATAGATGTCTTTGGAAAGTATTCATGTCTGTTTAAATGCATTTCTAAAGTAAAATATGTGTCTTGTGCTTCCTCGAGACGACAATTGTGTGCACCTGAGATTGCAAGTCTCTCGAAAACTTTCAATGCTTCTGTTAAGGAATAAAGAGTTTGGAATTAATGCTTTGACTTTCATTAGGAATTCGGCTACTGGATTATACACTCCCCAGCCGTAAAGTGCAAATGATACGATTTTGTCTTCCGCATAAGCGGAAACCTCCAGGAAATGAGTATGACCGCGACTATGTGAACTTGCAAACCTAGTTTCATGATCCCGAAATTGCAGGCTAATGAAGAAAAATACCAAACTATTGTAATAAAAAAAAAAAGTCTCCAATGCATTACTAAGGTTTTCCTCGAAGTATGACATTTCAAAATGGCAAACGACATAACTCCTTTAAATTTCATTCTTTGATCCGACATTGTCACAGTATCTTTGAAGAAACATTCTAATGAAATATTTTCGATAACTTGATTTACGAAACTTCTTTACAACGTATGGTACTACATAAGTTAAAAACACGTCTGTTTTTCCGAAGGAATAAAAAAATGGTTTTTGACTCATTACTCATAAATGCACAAAGATTTAAACGTACATTCTGTGGACGACGCTGTAGGATCTATTTTCAAAATCTTCATAACATCAACAGACGGAAGTAGGTGAAGTGTGTGGTACGCATAGCGTAGCGTGCGTACACACAAAAATAAAATGAAATACAAACAAAACAAATGGCACGCTCGCGAAAATGCTGATTTGCAATTTTGCTGAGAGCGTAACACTACACCAAGCGACCTCCGTACAGAATAAATGCTGGTGTCAGCATTTTAGAACAAAATTTGTAAATATTTCAACTTGAGAAAAACATATATAAGTATAAAAGCCGCGAAATTTTGTCAATAAAGTCAATTCAATATTGAAACTTCGCGCACGGCTACCCTTGGCATACAAGAAGCAATCAAAAAGAATACGTAAATAAATTGGAACCCTTTTAGTTAGCGATGCTCTTTCGCTAAATTCATTTTGGCATTGTGACGAGCGACTGTCTTGGCGGGAATAGTTGAGCAAAGTAGGAAATACATGCCCACTCGCAATATCGAGAATCCTTTGTTACACAACACAGTTCAGTAAATACGACCAAACCTCATTACATGGCGATCCGGCGAACTAAGTAAACCTTGATTTAGAAAACCACGATCCTGCCAAACTCAGACACACTTTTACAAGGCATTCTATATCTGCACACCAAGATCCTGCAAGCATTTTAGAGCCCGCCAAATTCTAGATTGAAGCCAACATAAGTATTCTCCCACCAGGGATGTGAAATATTGACAGAAGACCACCATCCAACTATTTATTTTCGGACGCAGACCTGCTATTAGCCCACCCATCTCGCACAATGATTCCCCTCCGAAGAAAACACTACCAATCCCAAATCATAACAAAGAGCATCATCCTCCACCCCTCTCGACGTCGACCACTCCCACCCGCTATTTTCCGGCGATGATCTAGAAACTATTGATTATCAAGACTTAATCAAAGAAGGAATATGCAGACAACGATTCTGTGCCAATCAGGCAAAAAACACTGAACCCACCTACAGAGTTCAGTAAGTAATGAAAACTTCTTTACAATATAACTTCTTGGTCAGTTTCAAACTCGAAATGCACCTAAGCATGTTCGTCTGCTAGCTGGTTAGCGTGGTCAATTTTTCTCATTTTGGTGCAGATGCTGCAGCATCACTCAAAATTTGATGCTGGTCAAGAAAATATATTCTTTAAGAGGTCTCTGAAGTTTCCTTCTGGGCTTTGCAAAGGTTTTTACAAAATGAATATACTTCTCCATCCTTCGATGCGGGATATAAATATCGGTGTGATATAGCCAGTCATAGCAAACTTAGGATGCTATACTCTCCCTGCTGTTATCGGCAGACATTGCTCCTGCCGATGAACGTGGATTTCGATCGATGTTTTATTCTTTGTTCATAGTGCGCTTCCATTTTTATGACGTTATCCAAATATAGGTTATTTTGGCAATGATCCTTAGGGAATGACACACTTTTTGCCGAGAATAAATTCGAAAATCGGGAGTTGGAAAGACGCTGCAATACACTTGTCTACAATTTTTAAGAGAAAAAAAAAACATAAACTACGATATACATATATATTTTCGATATTTTGTTTCACTGAAATTTATGTATAGGAAAGTTACAAAAAAGCTCTATCTAAGCTTGAGAGATCGTCGTTACTATCATTGTCCACAGGTAAATTTTGTACCTCAGTTGCTTTCTTTGGTGCTTTATGCCGATTTAAAGCAGAACGTTGCGTGCTACCGCTACGATTAGACGAATTCGTCTGCGATTTCGTACTGCATCCACGTTTCCTTAAGCCACCATAAATTTTCCGTAAGGTATCAAACTTTTGCAAAGAACGATTCTCAGTTATTTGCCTTGGATGGGGCGAAGATGTCTCTAAACAAGGCTCTACGGATGAATTGTGAAATAAATTGCGACGACAACTTTGACTACGACTAGAGTTCTTTTTTGAATGTTTTCGTTGTTGATTTGATGAACATAAATGTCGTCGGCCTTCTTTCTGACAAGTATGAGACAATTTGCCTACATGTGGACCCCAATAAGTTTGACCCTCTAATAATAAAGGAGCCGATTTGACACGTTGACGCATTATTTCCATATTAAGTTCATATTCACGTCTCTGCAAGGCTTGCTCAGCTTTCCGAGTGGCCAAACGTACCGCTAAGATATCCTTATGGGGTTCACTAAGCATACTCGAATCATGAAGGTATTGAACTTGTAATAAAAATTCTACTCACTTAAGCGATAAAGATTTCCACGCAGGAGTCTTCCGTACTTCCCAATCGAATTGTGACGTTGTATTCTGATAGGTGCAATTATTCTTTAATTCTTTCACTTTCTTCTTAACATGTTCCACTCGCAGAGTAGCAGCTAAATTGGGACGAGCTGGCGGATGTAACGGTGACGGTGTTGAAAGCTAATTAGATATTAAGAATTAGATTTAAGAAACTACAAAGAACTAACATTATCGCTCAATTGTCTTTTACCGCTAAGTTGTTTGGCTTTTTTGTATTTCCAATCAAATTGAAAACTTTGAACGGTACGTGGAAATTGTCAGATTTTAGTCTTTTTTTCGTCTTTTTATCCGCATTTCTATTCGAATTGGGAGAAGAGCTGGCTGAGTCCACTATGATTATTGGGGTTGTTTGAGTTTGTTCCTTTCTCTTTCCTTTTTCTTCAAAGTAATTGCTTAACTTCTTCTTGCCTTTATAGCAACTCTGTTCTAAAGTTTTATTTCGCTCTTCTAACTGCGCTGATGCTCTTGCTCTTGATTCATGTAAAGAATGAAGATCGTTAAAAGAGAAAGACTTTTGTAAACGTTCCCGCAGACTGGAAGTAAACGTTGACTTTACAGGTACACTTAAAAAAAAAAAAAACATGGTTTGTTTTTTATTTAACAACTTTTATGATTGAACTTACATTTTTTTAATCGATGTATTAGTTGACGTTAATCCCGTTTTTCCTTTCCCGTCGCAAAATGGTGATCCAGGTCGTGTAAACTCATTTTCAAAATTTTGTAGAGATTTTTTAAATTTTTCCACTTCTTCTTGAATTTCGGTTTTTAAACTAAAAAAGTTTTGAAAATTTAATTTAATGACAATTTTAAATTTTCGATACACAACCTGCTCGATTCTTTTCCATTTGATGCATCCTCAATTTTTAAATCGCTGCATCTTTGCAATAAATCATCTTCGCATTCTTCCGTTTTCGACTTCAAATCAAATGTTTTGTTGAAAGATTTCTTCTTTTTTCTCGATTTTCTCGATTTATGAGGTTTAGATGATACCGTCGAATTGCTGTTTGTCGTGCTAGCGCGTTCTTCTAAGCAAGCTGCTTTTACCATTGTAGCTATTTTAAATTTGCGACAAGTCCTTCGGAGTGTATCTAACGTAGAATAAAATTCCTCTTCATTCAAATGATTTAATTCGGAATATTCTTTAATTAGAAAAAAAGAGTTAAGTAACATATTCGATAAGGTTGAGAAGAAATGCTTTAATACCTACCTGGTATACTATCGTAAAAACGAGCCAATGATCGTATGCAGTCAGAGCTAATGTCTTTCTTTAAATTATCACCATTGTTGCATTGATTTTGAAAAGCGAAAGGCGTCGTTACAGGTGATATTGAATATCTGCCGAAAAACATTCTAGATCTATTATAAACGGGCGCTGGACAGTTATTACAAGGATCGATGGGCACTTTAAGGCAGGAATTTAAAAATACTCTGCCACTATGTAAAGTCATGTCGAAATCGAATTTGTATACAACTAATTGCATATATAAGGTATTCTTGAAATCAATGTTTTATCAATAATAGTCTACCTGTTGCTAGTAGCAACGAGCACTAAAAAATGGGACATGTTGATTTTATCGCTCTGCTTACATCTCTTAAAATGCAAATTGGAAACCACATTTTTTGCAATTCATTATGAGGATGTCTGCCCGCTTTGGAACAACATACCAGTAGTAGTGTTTCCTACCGTACTCTGATGTCTCCATTTTCAAGTCGAACGTCCGTAAAACACTGCTCCCTTTCTACACGCGTTTCTTTGTATAGCCTCTGCCTTGCCACATCTATAACGGACGTCCTTTGAAAGGCTAATTATAGAAAAAACCACCCTGATCAAAGCACTTGCACTAAACACTGCAAGAAAGGGTACATAAGAGTTATTTTGCACCTGTAGCAACCACTTATTGTTGCAAAAGTTTGAGTATTATTTTGAATTGAGTCCGACTGCGATTAATCTGATCATGTCTTATTTGGCAAAACGATATCAACGCGTAGTTATTAATAACTCTTGCCCTGAATTAAAAATGATCACTTCAGGTGTTACATAGGATTCATTTTAGTGTCTATTTTGTTTTATTATTGATCTGATTGCATGTTGTCACAACTGTCGCTGATGCACAGATCTACTTCTGGTACAGCATATAAATAAAGATTTGGACTGCATCATACTACAGCCTTATTGTGGCAACTTGAAGTTGAGTTCTAATAAAACTGAAGCCATTGTTATTTCGCCTATCACTTTTGAGTCCAATTCCTTGCCATTTGTCAAGATGCTCGATGAAGATATTAAATTTGTTAGTGCGGTCTCCAATATTGGCTCCTGGCTCAGCGGTCGTTTGACTGCTATAGATCATATTTACGATAATGCCTATCAGTAATAATAATTCTGAGAAAGCTATAGCTTTTTCCTTATCTTATGTTTCTTCCATCAGAAAATTGAGACTGATCAAATGCGTTGTCCCGCCTCTCATATCTTATGGTGCGAACGTATATCGAAACTGGGATCGTGCTTGTAGCAGGACGTTGCCAATAAGTATGCTAGATATGTTTGTTATAAAAGAAAAGTCCACTTGAACGGCCGAGTAGGCGAAGTATCTCGACGAACAACTGAATGGTCGTGGGTTCAACTCTCAAATGTCGAAAAAGTTTCAATAAAGCCTTAGATGCTTATTGTTTAGAATTTTAGGCTCCGAATTTATTGCTAATAATAATAAACATACATAAGAAAGAATGTCGCAATTTTCGCCCAAGTGTTTGGTTTCAAATCGTCGAACGTATCTTAACATTTGAAATCTAGTCTTTCTCCACAACGTGCTCTACACTTGAACACTACAACATTTATATGAACATATATATTGTTTGCTAGATCCGAACGGTCGACGAACATGATCCTATGAGACCTTAGGTATTTATTATCATCACAGCTAGTCTTTGTGAACGCTGTAAAGTTCTCGAACTCGTTACCACTCCGTATTAAAAGGATCGTAAGTAAGGAGAGGGCGTTTAAAGTGACTATTAAAGCCTCCTATAATCTATAATTTATTATTTCTAATTTCTAATTTTTGCCTCGATACAATATTATTGACATAGTTATCATCCACATCCACAAGAGACGTTATATAATAATTATATTAGCAACGATTATTGTGCAATTATATATATATATATATTGTCATTAATAATTAATATGCTAAACTGAACTCGCATCCAGAAATACATATGAAAACTTTATATATATATATTCTTGATCAGCATTTGCCTTTCTTTTGTTTTCTTAATTGAGGAAAGAAAGAGAAAGTAACAAGTGAAAAAAGGAAAAGATACAGAGAGGTGGCAAAATGGATTTTTGTGTGTCCAATCTGTAAGTAAGTAAGTAATCTGTAAGTATTATGAGATTTGAACCCGGGAATATTGATTTCGTTAGTAGCAGCTCTTACCAATTCGGCAACTCACGCGGTTTAATGTGATTGTGAGCCGAATTAGCATTGTCAGTGTACCGTTGTACCATCCGGCCTTTAAAAATATGCCTGATTCGTTTAAGAATCGTGACTAGATTTTATATATACATTATGTACTTCCGTGTCAGCATCGATACTCCCAACCGATGTTTCATATATTCCGCCACAGCGAAATGTTGCATTCACACACACCAAAGTTCCTGAATAGTTTATTTCAATCATTTTAAATGCAAATACGAAAATAATTAATTGCTATGACAAATGCAATTAATTAACTTGAGTAAGTCAAATGAAGAAATGTGCTAAAGTTTGAAAAATCCGTCCCAAATCTTAAAACAAACCAAGAAGAAAGGCGCTAATGTCCCATTTATTTGAACTGTAATCTATTTAATGCATTGTTGATAGTGATTGTTGTTCAATTTACAAACAACCGCATTCCAACCAACGAGGAGAAGGAAAAATAAAGAGGAATAGATATTATATATGATATATATTAAAACCGCAACGCGTACATTGTTAACCATCTCAAATTTAAGCAAAATGTGTGCGCAATTAAACTAACTGGATGCAATTATCACCACCGAAAAGCCTTAACGCTTAATTTGGGCGGTTACGGTTTGGGCGAATTCGGCCAAAACTTCAAAACGTCACTTAGTGTATTCAGTGGAATTGTATCCGATGCGAAAGTCCCAAAATGGTATTGATGTTTTTAAAAGTGGTAACATGTTGATGTTGACCGCCTTGCAACTGGATCAGTTGATTGTAGGAGGGACAGAAATGGTTGACGCACAGCTCTTTGTCCGCTAAGCTAATCGACATTGGACTAAAATCCTAGACGTTGAAGACTGTAGAAGAGCAGAAGTAAGCACTTTTCTTCATCTCTTTTTTTTCTCGTACCCTTGCGTATTCTTTCTTTCCCTCCTTCCTTTCAATAAACATAGAATTTCGAGTTCGGCTAGATTTCAATAAATGATGATATTTTGGCATAAAAAGAATCTTTAATTAATGTTTTGAATGTATACTCTCAGCATACTTTAACGGGGACCATCCAAAACAAAAGCGAAAAATGGATATCTTCGGTTACAATGCATCAAAAGCCAGTCGATCAGACAACTTAACAATTAACAAATAACAAGTTATTATTCGATCCTGATATATTACTCTAGAGCTACTATAACCTCATCAAATTTCATAAAGTTCCTACACCACCATAATTTTCCATTATAACCTTAAACATGCGTTTCTCCCAAAGTTTGCTGGAATGCAAAAATTCATTGCCGTATATTTAACATATTTATGCATTTATATTATATATTTGTTTATTTATTATTTAGCTACTATCTTAAGTGCATTGAAATCGTTAACTACCAAAAATTGCGATTTATCGCGTTCAGATAAGCGAGCATTACCAGGTCGGGATAAAACCACGACTTGCATTCCAGCTAGTCGAGCAGCTTCCGCCTCTGTCGAAAAGAATATTCTTAGATACATAATACATTTGGCAAAGTAACGTACCTTTAATTACATCTGTCAGAAATAGGATATCTGAAATGTCGTAATCCATATCTTTAGCAATATTTTTATAGGATTCTACTTGATGCTTATGGCCACTGGTGGTATCAAAATGCTTTGAAATGTAAGGCAACAAATCACCATATTCAGTTTGATTAAATAACAATTTTTGAGCCTTAATACTGCCGCTGGAATATATGGCTAAACATATATTCGCATCATACCAACATTTGAAAGCAAATGGAACATCTGGATAAACACTAAAATAATTTGTTGTAAACATAGATATAATTTGTTGTGTAAAAATTCTTCATAACAACTTACTGCCCTTTAAGAACACCAGCTTTATAGCCTTCAGCCCAGACTAATCCTTGTAAACTTTTCAGTGGAGCCAATTTCAAGTCTTTTTCTATTAGAACATTTATAAATTTCGCCACAGTCTCTGGACATATTTGCTCTTCCGTTACATTGAGCTCTTCTAAATACTTTTCATGCTCCTTTAGTTGTATTAAATCATGAACAATATTTTGGGTTTCCTCTGTATTCCAGGTGCGTTGGAGATATTTCATAGTATATTGTTTAGCGTATGGGAATAAAACATCCTAATCAATTAAAAAAATAAGGAAAAGAACAAGAAATCAAGCAAATAAACGTTTATACTGGTTAAGCGGCATTTTACTTTAACAAAGCTAATTGATGTTGTGGTGCCTTCAATGTCAGTTAATATCGCCTTTACGGCTAAAGCGCACATTTTTGCAAGAGGAAAAAAGAACAATAACAAGACTGCCAAAAACTTTACATGAAAAGTTTCCAACATGTGAAGTTCCCAAGAAGAAACTGTCAATCACACAAAAATAAAAAAATTCCATTTCCAAACGTTTCAATTAATGCAGGTTTACAATAAAATATTAAACAATGTTCGATTTTAATTAACCACAGACATGCTCTCCATCAGATCACGCCCACTTTAAATTTTAATCTGTAGATATTTACAAATAAGATAACATGCAGCATGCCTTGTTTTTTGCATATATGAAAACAAACGAATATGTGATTAAGTGAGTTAAGCGTTTTTTTTTAAGGAAATACAAGTAAATGAATTTAGCGTACAATTATGAATTAATTAATTATGAATTAATTAATGGCAATGTAATGTAGCTGATAAGAAAATTGTGCAAATATCCGCAACAAGAAAGCTCGTAAATATTAAACATAAATATTGGCAATAGTTTCTCTTAATATAATCGAAGGTAGTAAACGATAAAGATGCCGTATTTTCATATCGTAAATTTAATACACTTTAATTTACGGCCTAAGATAGTACGAATGGTAACTCTGTTGTACAATGACAAGATTGTCAAAGTATATTTGCCAAGAAATACGCGATAAGTTTTGCAAATTATATTAGAAAACATCTGTGTAAAATTAAGTTTCTTATCTAAATTGCCTATTAAACTAATTAATAAGTGAAAATAATAAAATAAAATTATCGAATGTGTTATATTAACTGCAAATTAACGTTGCTTTGAAAGGCTTGCTTAGTTTGAGCAAAAGCTCTGGTTCAACAAAAATAGAATTGTGCTAACAATAACAACAAAAGAAAAATCGTAAACCAAAAAAAAAAAAAAAAAATGCTTCTTACAAATTTAAGAAGCAATTTAATTAAATTTCTTAGAAACATGTGATTAAGTCAGCCAATGTGATTATTCCCGGGTTGTTATACTTGTATATAAATACATGAAATATTTGATTTTGATTCATTAAATTTCATTTTGGGAAAACAGTTGTTGCTCGCAAGAAAACGCTGGACGTTCAATAAATCGCGTGTCGAGTAACAACGGAATTCCAAATGCAACTAATATACTGTTTGCAAAGGTAATAATATTCACTAATTGACCGCGAGTTGCCCTTCAAGGTTAACATCACAAAAATAAGCAGCCGAAGAAAAAGGTGCAATGAGAAGTGCAAAACATTGCATACAAAAATAGCGAATTCACAGACAAACGCACACATACAGCCGTTTCTACGAGATGCTCTTGTCATATGTTATTTGCAATAAGCTGACGGATAAGATAAACATGTAATAGGGCAAGACAAGGACATTGCGGCAAGATCAACAGGTTGCTTGCTAAAAAGAAAAAATAAATCGGAATTTAAAACGACAGAGGAAATTATTGCAATTGTAATGGATTCTCAACACATGTTTTTAACTCCACAACCTCCACCACCTTTGCCGATATCTTCACACCTTTCTACACAAAATGCAAAAATGCAATTATCGCATCACCAATCACAACAGCAGCAACAACAACAACAGCAATGTGCGATTTGCGGTACAACTCAGGATTTATTGCGTTGCTCGAAATGTAAAACAATATATTACTGTTCAACCCAGCATCAACACATAGATTGGCCTAATCATAAACATGAATGTCGCTCGTTAGCAAAACAGCGGCTAAGTAATATCAAGCTCCAACAAGTCACTAATGGTTGCAACGCAATCAATATATCAGGGCCGACCATCAATGCACCCGCCTCTTCTAAACCATCATCTGCAATAAGTTCACCTTTATCTAACATGTCGGCTTCAAGTATTATACTTGGCACACATGAAAATGAAATACTTTACAGTAAAGCCGAATCCGTAACGCAACCTGCCAATAGTTCGGCATATTTTGGTAATATGTTGGCCAATTCTACTACCATGGAACAAATGCATGCCCATAATGGAGTGTCTTTTAGCACTGATAATAACAGCTCGCTAATGATAGATAATTTATGCTACCAACCGTCGACGCAAAGCAACGCTATTCAAAATAACATGCCACAGCAGCAGCAGCAGGAACAACAAGAACAGCGACAGCAGCATATTATATACGGCCAACAATCTGAAATACCTCAAGAAATTACACAATATCCTCAATTTAGTAATCAACATTTGATTAATCAATACGAGAAAAGTTCCAGCTATCGAATTGGTACAACTGCTACCTTCGATGATCATGTTATGGGAAATGCAAAGTGAGTACATATTTCTTTAATATTAATTTTTTTAATTTTCTTCTCAGAAGTATATGTCATTGCAGGATAACGCAATTATTATTATCGTATAGCGTAGATATATCAAAGTATATTTTTTGTAATTTGGAAGCGCCTTATACGAGATTCTCAAAAGTCGTATTTACGTGCGCCGCCTTATCCATGTTCGGATTTTGGTATTTTTATTGTAACCTATAAAGCGAAATTGCCCGCTTTTATTCACCGTTAACAAATCTAACATAAACTCATCCTGTGTATTGTTGTTTTTTAGGTGTCTGATAGTATTTAATGGGAACTTTATTCATGCCGACAGTCAAGTCACTCTTATAAAAAATAATCAATGAAACATAAATCAATAAACTTTATAGATAGGAAATTAGCGGCGATACAAAGTATGAAACGAAATAATTTAGGATTTAACCATTCGCTATATTGTACACGCCCAGGGTGTGCATTATTAACGTTGTTTGCTTATCAAGTTTTCAAATATTCTAGTATTCATTATTAAAGCAAGTAAATGGATTCGATTTGTTATTTTACTCGAAACAATCATCGGCGACCGAAGATTGTGTATACTCTCGATAAGCGAAAAACTCGCAGAACATTTGATTCCGTTTGTCTGTGTGTCTTGCTAAGACAGAAATCTGAAATTTTATGTTAACGGCCATAGATTGGGTTCGAAAAAGGGTGTGATCTGCCCACGATCATGGTAGGCAGAAGCTACATTATATTATATAAGAGATATTGATTTGCACTACTATTTTTAGGCTGGCTTGAAAGTAACGTTAAACAAATTTTGATCGAAAAATTTGTGAATATATATTGACTTGATGGGTGGGGAGAGGAGGGATGGGGATATCAGAGATTCGCTGTCAGGCGAATACAAATTTCTCACTTGTTGTCTGTTTAATTATTTTCAAGCTTAATTTTTATGATAACATTTACGTGGGCAATAAGCAATATTTGCAAGCGATAACTGCATACATAAAATATCATTACATTTTATAGCACCAAGCGCCTACCTACCGCATACCATTTGGTACTCTAAATGCATTGTAAACAATTAAGTATTTATGTTATGATTCGGCGTTTTCTTTTTATAGTTAATCATTAGTTTTATTTAAAAGAGTTTATTAAAAAAAATATTCCCGAATACCAAAATAGTAATAATTTATTTAACTCCTCTTGTCCTTGCAATTATTTTGAGAAAAACTATACTTTCTCAAAGTCATCAAAGAAATGTCATTGCACTTGCTTTTGCCGGAGATAGTTCAAAAGTAAAATTTGTTCTATCGTAGAAAGCAATATGAAATACAAAATGTTGCGTATGCTTTGCTATATAACGTTCATTTGAAAAAGGTTTCACAATTGTGCTTCCGTTTTCAAGATAATAGACAGTTACTAACGAATATATATGAGTGACTTTTACATTCGTTATAAAACGATTGTCAGTTAATCCAACGTCCATTTATAAATAGAACTGTGAAAAATCTTATCTCTCTGAGATCAAAGTGACATTTTATAAATACATACAAATTATTGATATGCTCCCATTTATTTTTATATGCATTCAATATATTAGGTGTACCAATAAAATCTGTATGTTCAAATTTTTTACTTCATAAAACAAACGTAACTGAAGCGATATTCCAGGCATAGATGACTTTGACATTGATGTTTGTATGTTATAAGTTTGAGTCGTTTGCAAACTGTCGTTCAGTGTGCAGGCAAATGTAAAGTTTAAGGCAAAGCATTTTATTTCGTTTTAAACTGGAAAACGACAAGTAGTTGGCTTGGAATGAAATTGCATTAAACAGTTCAAGAATGGTGTGTGAGATTTTCGTGACTTAGTCTGCAGGTCAATGAACATTCATATAGGTAAGCCGATAAGCTGGACAAGTAACCCACGAACTGATCTTCAAATCTCCTGATTACCTCTGATTCAGATCGAAGCTGTCATATTTGGTAGATCAACCGTGACCCAAAGCTGAAGATATGCGGAAATGGGTCTATGACTATTTCGCCTCGAAATTACAAAGTTTCCAATCGCGAGGACACTTGCAAGTTACCCGTTTGAAGGCAAAAGGTGGTACATGTAATGGTGCTGAATGCCATTGCTGTATATCATTGCTTTTTTCATTGAATTGAATTTTGTCAAAAAATATACAGAATTTATTTGTACACGCAACATATTGCACATTGCACGTTTTAGCAATGTTTTGGTTTAAGAGGAAATTGGGTTTAAGAGTAAACTCTGCTCTGTAGCCGCTTATAAGAAGGAATATTTATTTATTTATTGTTTATGTATAGTGTAAATAAATTTACAAAGTGTGGATTGAAAGGCTGCCGGATAACTTAGGTCATATGCTCGCATGTATTAAAAATTCTAGCTCCCTTGGAATTTGAACCCGCCACCATTGTATTATTAGTCGCGATTCTTTTTCTTCCCGGATGACAAATCCTGAAGTTGTAGGTACTGGGTATAGAGGGGTTGATGCGTTTGCGGAAAAACTTGAATTTTCAATGAAAAAACCTCTTCAGTGTAGTGAACTTTTTCAATATACTCTGGAAAATTCGAAGTATGTACATATTAAGACAGGAACAAATTTTATATAGTGGTTGCCTTTTTCGTCTCTCTCTTTCTCTCTCTCTTTCTCGCTCCCTAGTATTCTCTTCCTTGACTGTAACGACTTTGACGGGCATAGGCTGTGTTGATTTACACTTCGATTACTTCAAACCTGTATCTGTATATTTGTATATAGATCCCGAGTTTGTAAGCATGTTGAACTATCTTGAAAGTTAGTCTATTGTTGTGTAGGCAATCTTAAAACAAAAGTTATATACATTTAAAGCGGAATTTTCTGTTTTCACATTCCATTAAAGCGTTAAAAAAGGATATCCACGGTTTACACTCAAACTTCTGATATCCACTGTTCGTTTACAAGCATTTACTTTGTAATGCACAATAATAAGTAAGTAAGTAGAGGAGGAGCTATAAATTAAGTTAAATGACACCACTGTAAATAGGATGATTAAAGCACAACACACATAATAAGTTTTCAGTTTCAAAGTAGACAAATTTTTGCTTAGAATATTTTTAGGCTTAAAATATTAACAAAATGAAATTAAGTCCAAGTGTTAAAACTATGATATTGTCTATCAATCAGAAAAGCGAGTAAACAGTATAGACTGTCATAGGCAGAGTAAGAAATCATCTCGAAAGAAGTTATATTGGTTTGGCAGCGATCCACCCACAGATCTATTGTCGCACTTCTTCAATTTGCAGATAATAAATTAAATGTAAATCATATAATATTGTATTTACAAATTCATCCTTGGCGACTAAATAATATCTTAATACTGCTGCTATTAAAAAGTTAAGATCCCTTTTTAATTTTAATAACAAATTTTAAGTCACTATTTCTTATAGAAATGGCAGCTTTTTATTTATAGTGTAAGTGCGGTTCGATCGCTGGTCATAAACTAGAGATGTATATGACAAAGTCTACCTTTCTAATGCAATTTGTGAGATCCTAAGTGTTCAGAATAACAGAAAAATGCAAGAACGGACAGAAGGACTTGGTTGAATCGACTCAAGCTCATATGCTGGTGAAGTGTGCTTTATGTACCTTATGTGATCTCCAATGCATTCTACTGTTTGTTACAAACAGATAGACTTATTTAATATATCAGGTGATGGCATTCTGAAGAGAAATGTAGTTTTTTCTTGATCTTATTAAACGTAGATTTATTTCTTTTCGCTACTGAAAAAGTGCGAGTATTTATTTTTATAGTTAGAGTTACCTTGAAGTTGAATAAATTATCTTTGAATTCGTTCATTGAACTGCTTAGCGTTTAACATAATGTCTGCAGTAAGCACTTGCAGAAAACAAAAGCATGTTTACTTCCTCGCTATTAGACTGCTTCCCTTTTCTTAGCTTTATTGTTCTTGTGTGCCATTTAACATTTGGACTACGTGCGCATTTGTATGTTAGAATATCTTGTGGCGTAATATCTTTCAATAGAGAATATCGGACAGAACGCTATTAACGGTAGTGAAGTAGCGGAAGTTATTGAAGGGGATATCATATAAAATAAATGCATAGCGGGAGATAAAAAAAAAAAGGTTTGGAAATCAAGCTCTTTGTGTACACAAACTGTAATAACTGAACATATCGATGTGGTAATATATTAGGTTGGTGGAAAAGTTATGTAGTAAATAAAACATTTGTAATTGAAAATGTTCAGCATGTCTTCTTCCATTAGTCAAACGATAGATGCCTTTGCAATTGCAAAGTGGAATGTGTCGCCAAATATCATTATCGCTCAGATCGACGATTCTTTTCGAGGGTGAAATTTCCAAGATGGAAATTGGCAAACCATTTTGGGCAGTTTTAAATATTTTAAAACTTTATCTACTTCTACCAATGTGTCACATAAGTTCCTACCAGCAACCGACAGTATGGCTTCTTTTCTGGAACTCATACCAAATGCACATTATCCACTGCATTTCCCCAGTAACTGATGGAGGATATTGAAAATAGTCCTCTCACCTCCCACGGGAGCTACGCCACATAATCAGATCCGCCATTACTTACCTTGACCTATGAAATAAACTTAGATTGACGGTAGTCAAATACGACAGAACTTTCACGCTAACCTATTATATTCATTGGGTGATAGACACATGCAAATTTATTCCCGCGTTTGAGATTCCTCTGTAGGGGAGACGTGTAGGGGACTTATCCTGAGTGATGGCTGGTCATTGAAAAAAAAGAATTAATATATTAATGAGGATCAGAAAGAGGAGCGCTTTTTCTCTGACTAGGAAAGTACATATTAGTGATTGCGTATGTTCCGCTAATTGATTAGCAAAAACTTTCTTCTAAATATTCTTAAGTGGGGAAAGGCCCGAAAAATTGACCTATTTAGCCCAAAAAATAGTGCTGTTAATTTCTACTGCAAATTACTATTATAGACCA